GATATTGGATATTTGGGATTAAAAAACTAAAAAGAAATAATACACTGCTACCACCGTGCAAAACAAATAAAAGAGAGGAGAAAAATAATTGAGTATAAAAATTGAGACTCTTGACCAGTTGACCGCAAAAAAACTAAGAAAAGGCCCACTAGTGCACCTTTGACCTATTTTTTACCATGGGGCCAGCAAGTTATTAAGTGAATTATCTATATAATAAATCAAATTTTATGGGATTAGCATGGGGTCACCGGCACCACCATTTGTTAGGCAGATCCGCTTCTGATCACGATCTTTGATGGATTTTTGGGTCGTGACATAAGCATGTAATCCTCAATTTTTTGCACTAACAGGATTAAAGTATACTAATTATAAGGTGAAATGTAGCGAAAAAGCCATATTTCTAGCGTACCATCAACAAGTTGGACTTTTACAAAATAAATGTATCCCCCCAAAAAAGGTTAGCTGGCATCCGTGCATGCACCAAATTACACTAAAAATTATTATAGTTAGATGATAATTGAAGAGATGATACATAATAATTAGTCATAGATAAGTAATAAAACACTTATGTGAAATATAAGGATTAGTTCCTATAGAGATTCTCTTTGGTCTAATTTCACGCCTATGATGAAAGAGCAGTCAGCGTGCCGTAAAGTAAAGATTGAAAGAGTAGAAAAATTTACCTATAGAATATTCCGAAAGGGTAACCTACGCATTTAAAAAAAGACCTGGTATTTCGACTTGAGAAGCGACCAGTTGGTTCACCAAAATTCCAACCAAGCGTCACATATTCTCGAGATCCTAAGGGATCTAGTGCCCAACTATCAACTCCTCCCGAAAATGCATTATACTGGATGGAGTAAATATTTTGCATCACGGCATTAATTATGTTTGGTTTTTTCAACATTCTTGGTTAGAAAGTTTTTACATAGCTGTAAATATATAAATACTTTTTAAAAAGATAAAGAAGGAAAAATATCACTTTTAGTCTTTCAAGTATTGACAAACTCTAGTTGTTGGATATCATAATATTTGACTAAGCATATTTAACATTTAATTAATTAAGATATGCACTATTGGTCTTTTGCTTGTGTATTTTCACAAATTATATATCTTATTACATTATATAGTAATAAATTGAAAATTAATTATGCTTAGTCATATATTACAAGGACTAAAACTAAGATATGCTAATTATAATTAAGGTTATTTACATATAATTCAAATAACTCAGATATTTAACATGGTTAATGTCAAATATCAAAATGGAGTCATACTGGAAAAACAAAATTCACTGGCTAAAGAATTTTTAAATTTTTTAGATAGCCATCTAAAATGAGTTTTGAATTAAGGATAATATTTTCACTTACATTATTATAAAAATAATTATTATTGAAAAATAAAGTTTTAGAAACTGAAATTTTAAAAAAGAAATAATTTTTAAGAGATATCAACACACCAAATAAGAGTTCAAGTAGTAGTAAAAGAGTCAAGTTGTATCCAAAGAGTCATTTATAGTCTCAACATTTGATTGTTTTTCCGTAAATATGAGTTATTATTTTGCTTCATGACTATTTTTAGGATCCAATGACATCGGCGAGAATGGTATAAAAACGAAAAATAGAAGAAATTATTAAACTTTTTCATGTAGTGTTTTTTATTAATATTCAATGATTATCTATATTTACCGAGAAAGTTGAAATTTAAGATTATTTACATATAATTCAAATAAATTAAATATTTGACATGATTAGTGTCTGCGCATCCGCGCGGGTGCTAATACTAGTTACATTATATAGTAATAAATTGAAAATTAACTATGCTTAGTCATATATTAGAAGGACCAAAACTAAGATATGCTAATTATAATTAAGGACCAAGAGTGTTATTATCCCAATCAAGGTTTAATGCCCTAATGTGCATAAAACTTACTCCAATAAGTTCATTTCTTTTACCAGGAAAAAAAGTACGTACTTGTCGAAGAGGGAAAAATCAAACACAACTTTTTATCCTTCGGACCTTCGCTACGGCGAGCAGAGTTTTGCTATGCAGAGTTTCATCCCGCTAGTGCTAGCTCCTCATTGAAGTTGTTGCTTCTTATTTTTCATGGAACGCGATTTTCTATCGGCACACATGCGTAATCCGCCACCAATATTTCGAGGCATGTTTTCGAGCCTTTATCCAGTGCCTAAAACCTGTTTGATGTTATGCCCCAATAAACCTCAATTGGGTAATATTTCCCTCTTTCCCTCTGTTCACTTTAACTGTTTCTCATGCGCTGCTCTACAAACAATTGAACCCAACTCCCCATCAGTTGAAAACCCAAAACTTCAATATTCTTTTGGGTCTAAAAGGTTGAGTAAAGAGTTGAAATATGGTGCTAAGGAGAGATTTTTTATTCTGAACAAGAAAAAGGGGGTTAAATGGTACTCTGAAATGCTCAAAGATTATGCTACTAAGTTATGTTTGAAGGAAGGTAAAGCTTTACATGGTGAAATCATTAGGAGTTGCATAGAACCCGATTCGCATTTATGGGTTTCTTTGATTAATTTTTATTCGAAATGTGGTGATTTAGCAATGGCGGGCAATGTGTTTGATTTAATTCCAGAGAGAGATGTTGTCTCTTGGACAGCACTGATAGCAGGGTTTATAGCTCAAGGGTATGGCAGTAAAGGTATTTGCTTATTTCGTGATATGAGGGGAGAAGGTGTTAGGCCTAATGAGTTCACTTTGGCGACAGTTTTAAAGGGTTGTTCGATGTGTTTAGATTTGGAGTTTGGCAAACAACTACATGCCGAGGTTGTTAAAGTTGCTGGCTTTTCGGATATTTATGTTGGTTCTGCTCTTGTTGATTTGTATGCTAAATGTTGTGAATTGGAATCTGCTGTTAATGTGTTCTTTTCCATGCCCGAGCAGAATTCGGTGTCGTGGAATGCTTTACTTAACGGGTATGTGCAGGCTGGTCAAGGTGAGGAGGCTTTGAGATTGTTCTCGAAGATGTCAGATTCAGAGATGAGGTTTAATAATTATACTCTGTCTACTATTTTGAAGGGGTGTGCCAGTACACTAAATCTGAGAGCTGGCCGAGTTATCCATTCGTTGTTGGTCAAAATTGGGTGTGAACTTGATGATTTTACAAGCTGCAGTCTTGTAGATATGTATAACAAATGCGGTCTGCAAGATGATGCCCTGAAAGTGTTTTTGAGGACTAAAAATCCTGACACTGTGGCATGGACTGCAATGATCAGTGGATTTGATCAGCAAGGACAGAAGAGGGAAGCTGTTCAGCTATTTTGCTTGATGAGACATTCAGGTTTGAGGCCTAATCAGTTTACACTGGCTAGTCTTATTAGTGCTGCGGCTGATTCAGTGGACTTAATTTGTTGCAAAAGTATCCATGCTTGTGTTTACAAATTTGGTTTTGACTCAGAAGAGTGTGTCAGTAATGCATTGATTGCAATGTACATGAAATTTGGGTCAGCTTTTGATGGGCATCGTGTATTTTCTTCTACGAGTAATAGGGATATAATTTCGTGGAACTCCCTTTTGTCTGGGTTCCACGATAATGAAACTTCTTATGAAGGACCAAGAATCTTCAGGAACTTGCTTGTGGAAGGTTTGAGGCCAAATATGTACACGTTCATCAGCAATTTGAGATCTTGTGCAAGCCTCTTAGATGCCACTCTCGGGAAACAAGTGCATGCCCATGTAGTTAAAGCTAACCTTGGTGGCAATAAATATGTAGGAACTGCTCTGATTGATATGTATGCCAAGTGTGGGCATTTAGATGATGCAGAAGTGATCTTTTACAGATTGAGTGAAAAAGACATCTTCACTTGGACAGTTGTCATTACAGGTTATGTGCAGTCTGATCAAGGAGAAAAGGCTTTTCGATGCTTCAATCAGATGCTAAGGGAAGCTATTAAACCCAATGAGTTCACTCTTGCTAGCTGTCTGAGAGGTTGCTCTGGTATAGCGAGCCTAGACAATGGGCAGCAGTTGCATTCCCTGGTAATAAAGTCTGGGCAGTTCAATGATATGTATGTGGCTAGTGCATTAATTGACATGTACGCAAAATGTGGGTGTATCAACAATGCTGAGTCTCTATTTAAGAGCGTGGGATCCTGTGATACAGTGTTGTGGAACACAATTATATTTGCCTACTCCCAACACGGGCTAGATGACAAAGCATTGGAAGCATTTAGAACCATGTTAAGTGAAGGTACTCTGCCTGATCGGATTACCTTTATTTGTGTCCTTTCTGCCTGCAGCCATCTGGGCCTGGTCAAAGAAGGAAGAAGGCATTTTGACTCAATGAAAGTTGTGTTTGGTATCACTCCTTCGATTGAGCACTATGCTTGTATGGTTGATATCCTTGGCCGTGGAGGCAAATTTGATGATATGGAACACTTCATTGAGGGTATGGAGCTTGCTCCTAATGCCTTGATATGGGAGACTGTTCTTGGAGTCTGTAAAGCTCATGGAAATGTGGAATTGGCTGAGAAAGCTGCAAACATACTTTTCGAAATTGATCCAACAGCAGAGTCAAGCTATATATTGTTGTCCAATATATATGCTACAAAAGGGAGGTGGGCTGATGTTTCAAAGGTTAGAGCATTAATGTCCAGGCAGGGTATCAAAAAGGAACCTGGTTGTAGCTGGGTTAAGATTGATAATCAAGTTCATGTCTTCTTATCTCAGGATGCTTTGCATCCTAGGTTAAATGATATCCATAAAAAGTTAGAGGAGCTGGCTTCAAAAATTACTGCTGCAGGATATATTCCAAACACAAACTATGCACTTCATAATGTCTCTGACAAAGAAAAGATAGAAAACCTTTCACATCATAGTGAAAGGCTAGCTCTAGCTTTTGCTCTCATGAGCAGCAATAGAAATAGTACTGTCAGGATCTTTAAAAATCTGTGCATCTGTGGAGATTGCCATCAATTTATGAAGCTGGCGTCAATCGTAACAAACCGAGAAATAGTTATTCGTGACATTAACCGCTTCCACCACTTCTCTCATGGAATGTGCTCATGTAAGGACTATTGGTGATTATTGACTGGCTAACCCATCAGGCAACCACAGCTGCAACAGATCAATAGTGCTTAAATGAAGTTCTAAATGCAAGTCATGATAGTTCAATTTGAATATATTACTGAGGTGGCAAAGTAATGAGGTATTTACCAATCTTTAGTAGCGTTTCACTGTTATGCAGAGTATAAACTTCGATCTTTATTCATCTTTTTCTCCATGGATGTTGTCGTTATTCTTATATTCTTTCTTTCTTTTATTATTATTACCTTCTTCTTTCAACTTAGTCTGAAATATATGTTGACCCGGTGTTAACTTTGACTTGGTTTTTGCAGCTAATCACCAAGCTATGTTGAAGTAAGCATTTGATTGTGAATGTTTTATTTTCCTTTCTCAGTTTCTTGACGTGGGCTGTCCATTCCAATTCTTCCCAAGAAAAAAATTTCTTGTGTTTGTCGGAAGTACCAAGCTGTTTTAATTAAGTAGCTATTTTGATGCATTCTTTCTCCTAAAGTGACCAAAGTTCCTTGATCCTGAAAAGCTTCATTTGTTAGCTTCAGTCTCTGCCAAGGTTTTTTTTTCCTTGGACGATCTTTCTAATTCGAACACAGCTCTTTCTGTTACCTACAGGACTAATAGCTGGGTTAATAAGTTACCTGAAGGTACAACAACAAACCCAGTATAGTCCCAAAAGTGGGGAGAAGAGACAAATAGATCAAAAGGTTAATCAATCTCTGAGGACTGAAACTAGGTGTGTGAAACCTCTGATAAACTTATTGCAGAAGGTGAAGAAACTGCTCAAGTAAATCAGAGGTACTCACGTCTCCCCTTTCTCCTATTCCATGTTTGAGCTGTACTCAACTCACTTTGGTAGCTGCAACGATATGTGACCATTTCCTGCCATCCACATTGTTTAATTTTTGAAATGCCTCTGAATAAAGTTCTTTTTCTATCAGAAGGATGAAAAGAAGATCAACTGATATTTCTATATCATTAAATGTAGAAAACAATATCACCGGTAGGGAACTCCCAACTACATATTACACAAAAATTTGGCTAATAATGATTTTGAAATACTGCAATTCTTTTGAGAAGTAAAAAAAAAAAAAAATTGAGAAGAATACTGCAATTTGACAATTCATAAATTAATGCTTTTCGTATCTTCAAAAGATGAACAAGAGAGTTCCTACTCCCTGTTGTTATAGAGCTAGACGCGCTTTCACATCTTCTTAACCTTAGATGGCTGGAAAGGTCTTCCAGTAATGGAAAGAAATCCACCCAACTCCAGCTTCATGTATGGTTGCGTGATGCCATGGAGGGTAATCCTATTTCACCTCCTATAATCTTGATGGGAATTTGGATGAGCTTTGCTAAATAAAGAAGAATTGGTAGAGCTAAAGTCCAGGTGGTGATGGGCCAACATAACCTAGTTCACCATATTAAAAAAGCCAAAAGAAAAGCAGCTTATTAAAGGTTTCAAACTCAACTATGGTGAATAAACACAAGCATTGGAAATAAACAAAAAGTGTCCCTATAAGCACGTATGTTTAAACAGTTTGAACCTATTCTAAGATAAGATTCAACATATAGTTGCATCAAATATGGAATAGAAAAATAATCTTTCATATTACAATGGCTAAACCCAACAAGAACAAAAAAGAAGCGTTGGAATCGAGTTCTATTGACCAAACTGAAACCTCGTTCTAAGTCCTAAGAAAAGAAGTTTGCACTCGCTAACTCCCCTTCCTTTGCTCCACTGATACCAAAGATCAAAAAAACCGGATAGAAAGAAGGATTGGTTAGCGAGCAGTCAACCACTTGTTAAAAAGATCTTAGCATATTGTGAATAACCATATTCCATCATTTTTTAAGTGGGATGATCTGATTGGCTGTACTAGCTTAATATAAGCTATGCACTGTTCAATGCAAGAAAAGCCATGCAAATAACAGGCATAAGCTTGTCACATTTCTTTGTGTTGAACCCCATACTCCTACAACGAACGGGTTAGGTATAAGAAAAACTCAAAGGCTGTTCGGGTGAGGTCATTAGAAAGAAAACAAAGTTGACCATGTCACTGGAAGCAGACCATATTTTGCTTATCCTTTTATGTCTTGACTCTAGAGTTCAAGATTATGCAGTCAAATGGTTGCAATCAAGAATTGTCCCCATTTGATGGTGGATCTTTAAACATTTTTTGATGCTATAGTTAGAATCTGAAGTGATCGAGAGTCCATAAAGCCTGGTGGTGTTCTCTAGGCCTGTTTGTGAATTAGGCATAACACTAGCAATTTTTTCTTCCATATTTCTATTATTAGTCTTTTGCAACTTTTGTAGGGTCTGATTCTGAATGTTCGTGGCTTTGTGCATAGCTTTTATACGTGAATAGTTTGTACAAGCTGTTCTATGAAGAGCTGGTGTTATCTAGCTTCTTACATCTTGATGGGACTGCTATACAGATTGACTTTGCTACACCAAATAAGAGACTGAATGTCATGAACATCGTTTCAGTGTTGGAGTGTACTTCCAAGTCAAACCAAGCTTGGAGTATAGCAAATAGTAAGTGTCTGTTGTTGATAGAAGCATAGTGTTTAAAGAAAAGATGACCATAAGGTTGGACATCCCTCTTCCTATTAGCAACTTGTTCTTTTTAATCTGATTGGTTAAACCTTTCTAAATCCTCGTTTTAACCCACTTCTCCGGGATTCAAAGGCTCAGTTGTGAAGCATTATCATTCAAACAATTTAGTCTTAAAACATCACCTGATGAAATCAGCATGTTCAAGTATTCAGAAATCAACTGCAAATCTGAATCACCTGCTAGATCTTTTATATCAACGAGGCCTTAGAATCTCATTGGCTTCAATAGTTTGTCTACATCTGTATACTAGTTGAAATTTGCATAATCCATGTAGTTCATTGAAAAAAACTTCATTCAGTTTTTCCCTTATGAACAATTCTGTCATTCAAAATATATAGACTTCAAAATATATAGACTTTAATTTTCCCTCATTCCTCACGGCATAATTCTCTAGAATGAATGTCCTGAATCATCATTTACTTAACAGGTAGTCTTGATAATTTGGTTGATGCTATCTCCTACTTGGTTTTTTAATGGCATCAATTGTGTACAATGTGTTTTAATGAATTGAACAGAAGATGGTTATCAAAAAAATGAATTGAACAGAAGATGCTCGATTCCTTTACTCACAAACAGGTCTTGAGTTATGATGCTGTTTTATATAAACAAAATGATGCTGTTTTGTATAATAGGGAACCTTCTAGATTCATCAGATCATGCACGTATTATCATCAAACCTTGCATATTATTTTCCAACGGTACTATGTGAGAATTAGTCAAGACAAATTTTCCAACTTTTCCACAAAAATGAATACTTACTATCAAAAAGAGAAGCTGATTAATGAACTTTCCATGCTAATGCACCGGCAAAGTTGGGTCCTGGATTAAGTGAATTATTACGTACTTTTTTGTGACAATGGGTTAGGACTTCGGATAAATATATATGATTTTTTTAACTGCATTCACACCTCGAGCTAGAGGCTATTGATGGGCCCGCGCCTGCACCTGCTGCCTTCAATATAGATGTGCTCATGCTCAAAAGTCTTAAGAATTAATACCGAGTGAAAAGTGTGGGGGAAGAGGAAAAGGTTTAGAAAATTCAGCTAGTAGCTACTGAAAATTAGAGCATAACCTATCCAGGATATGCAGCTTTGTCTGTTTAAAATTCATAATTGTGATTCTTTTGAGCTCGCACAAAAATTGCTATTGTGCTAAATATGATTGATATGAGCTGTGAGCTTTAAAAAACTCTACAACAACAAATCCAGTGAAAAGCTTTAACAAACTCTGGTTTTCCAAAAAAAATTACCATTGAAATCTGTTCTTTAATTTTATTGTTTGAATTATGTTTTGTTCATTTTCTTTGTTTTTTCTTCTGTTCACAGGCTTATTTCTTCTCTCTCTGTGGCACTGTTTTTGCCGAGGGTCTGCCTTGAACCGTTGAAAAGGTAACTTTGCAGAGGAAAAAACAGAAATAGCAGATCATTAGGTTTTTCAAATTAGTAGAAGAGAAACAAGACTTGACCCTATCTGGGAAAGTTTCTTGCTAGTTATATGCAGTATTCTCTACACCAGGTTAATCGACCGATATTATATCACTCTGTTGCAGTAGGTCCAAATGATTTGTCTCAGAAAAGATCATCTGGGTGGGATATGTTCGAAATTAACTTGATTCAGAGATAATACGGTTGACTGATGAAAAATGCATGGAGAAAATAGGTGAATTTCATTGAGTCCCATGCCATAACATTAAATGTTTGGCTAGTACATTGTGACTATCAATAAATATTAATCTTGCATAGAATGATGCAACGGAAGCTTGTAAATTGACTTAATCACGTCTTCTTTACTTAGTATTTCTTGTTTGTTTTTCCCTCTTCTTTCTACTGTTGCTCTGCCCTAAACTCCTTTGGTTCTTCTCCAACTACTGATGCAAACTCTTTTTCTGGTTACTTTGCCTCTATTTTTCATTGTGATTTATTCTCAAGGCTTGTATTTTGATGTATAGGAGGTTCGGAGGTTCGTATCACATTGAATCTGCTCAGCTGCATGGGAAGAAGAGAGAGCAAAAGGATAGGCTAAAGAACCTTGCAAGTAAGTGGTCTTCTTTCTATTCTATGGCCTTCAACTACTTGCTAAGATTGGACTTGACCAACTCTATATGTACATGCCAGCTCTGTGCTTGATAGGCAGAGAATAGGAAAGAGGGAAGAAATGTCACCTCAATTTTAACTTTGGAGGGACCTGATCTACTGAATAGCTTCTAACAAGCTGGAAACAAGGGATAAAATTTGCAATTGGTTTACTCTCTGGTTGAACGCCTTCTGTTATTTGGTGCCAAAATCCATTAGCTATGCTGTTGTACCTCACAAGAAGACCAAGAGGGAGTCCCTCTTGCTTATCCCCATCTATCTCATATGAATCCTATTATATCTTCGGAAAGCATGAACTGATGATTAACCATGGTTTAAATACTCAGTTAGTTATCATGTTCTCTTATATGTGTAGATTACCAAATGTTTGATTTAGCCTAACTTGATGCAGCTGGTGTTGCTTAGAATGTTGTAAATCTCAGACGTAGGCAAAAGGCAACTGTAATGTAACACTGCATAACTGTTTTGAGTTTTTAACACATTTAAAGAAGTTTGTTGGTCCTTTTTGGCGTTTCGTTTTTAGGCATTGTTCTTTCTAAGTTTTTTTTTTTGCCATTTTCACTGTTTAACTGCATTGCATAAGTATATGTAACAAATTTTCTGGGTTGCTTTTATGGATGAAGTACCAGTGCTTTTCTAGGCTCAACGGCATATGCTGGCATGATGTAGATTTGATAAAGCAAAGGATTTGCCTAATTGTGGCTCCGTTAATTATAGGAAACAGACAATGTCAATTTCCATTAAGTAGTTTTCTGAAGTTAACAAATGGTTACTAAAGTTCACTCCCTTGCCTTTTTTTTGAAATGAATATACATAATCAGGTCCCTCCCCCTTTTGTTATGAAGCTTTTCGAAGCGGATCATAAAGGAACTAAATATCATATATAAGCCCTTTGTATTATGTAATACTAGTATTCATACCCGTACGTTGTGCAGAGAGTATTAAATATAATTTTTTATAAGAAAATATTACTTGAAAAATGCGATACACACAAGAAGCATGTAAATGATATTATTTTATGAACATGTAAATGCACTCAATATCCATTCATTGAAGTCTATCCAAATTATATTATTTTTTCTTGAATTACAATTTTATTATTCAAGTACTTGAAGAAATTGAAAAAAAAAATCAGGATAAAGTTTGCATTTAAAATATTTATCATCTTTTTGTTTTTTTCATGAAATAGTAGATAATATTATTATATAAACCCGTCAACTGATAAATATTGATGCGACAATATAAAAATAGATTAGTAATAATATAATTAATAGGTTGAAAAGTTGCCTGTTTTGATAGATATATATCCCTTAGGAACATTTTGGCCGACCAAGAAAATTTGCTATGGTGCACAATTTCATTTGTTTATTATTTGTACCAATTGTCACCGTTTGTGAGAATGCTAAAATCTGCTGGCATAGTTTGGATCAGATAGAAATTCCGAGAATGATAGATTTTTTATTAAGATGTTGTAAAAGTGGCTTTGTAGTATCTTGACACTTGGCTTAATCTTATGAATAACTATTTTTTCGTCCTAAAATTTTCAAGTGACTTTTATTATGTTGTCACTTAGTTTAATATGGTGTCTTTACTTCTCTGTTTATTATATATATCAAATATATCCTAACAATATATTTATTTCCTATTTTCTATTTTTTTTTTCTACTGCTATATTTGATTAGTTTTTCCATTTAGTATTTTACTTATAATTAAAATACTCTTACTTTTCATTAAATTATAACTTTAAATTCATTAAAAGCATAAAAAGAGTTCAAAAGTCTAAAGAGAAGCCTTCTATTATTCACATTAATACTTCCGTATACTATTTATTGACTTTATAATTTTATCTTGATTATTTCTTTTGCTTTTCAAAATTTATTCATGAATAATTGCAAAATTTATCAAGTGGCTTTATAGTGTCTTGACACTTGGTTTAATCTTATGAATAGCTATTTTTTTGCCCTAAAATTGCTAAGTGAATTCTTGTTATGCTGCCACATGGCATAATATGGTATCTTTGACTCTCTTTTTATTATATATAGATTATATACTATATATCCGTTTGAACGCAAAAGAGAGAGAGAGAGAGAGAAGGCAATGGTTTTAAATGCAGAGATGATTTTTTTTTTTCAGTTTTGCATTCTTTGTGTGTAAGTAAACAGTGGTGCACGGTCAAGGTGCTAGTTTGGTAACGTCATGTTGTAAAGCATAGGTACTGAAATGTAGGACCTTATGGTCTGTAAACTCTAACGGCCTTGCAGTAGTGGTGTAAAGAGCTGCTGTCTCACGGTGATATATTGAGGATGTTAGGGTGAAAATGTTGAACTTCCCCAGTCAATATCACAATAGTAGTAGTTTGTGTTTATGTTACTTGTTGTCAATCATGAAAAAGGGAAAACTGTAATGGACATTTGGATAGGGCAAAACCAGGTGAACTTACCCAACCAACAGCAGCTATGACTTCTAGTTACTTTAAGTAACTATTTTCACAAGAAATTTCGGTTTAGGGAAAATGTGGCTTTTGATTTTTGATATCTAACACACGTTATACAAAAGATGAGGTCTTTGAGTGTTTTTTTTTTCCGTCCCTGTTAAAGGTGTAAAAAGTCTATGATATCCAACAATTTTTTTTTACATCATGCATAAAATGATGCACATGGGTAGAGCTACCGGGCCAGATAAAATACATGTGAAATTTTAGAAGAATGCGGGTAGGGCAGGTTTGAAGTGGCTCACTAGGCTATTCAACGTCATTTTTAGGACGAAGAGGATGCTCGATGAATGGAGGTGGAGTACGATGATTCCTCTGTATAAAAACAAGGGCGATATCCAAAGTTGCAATAATTATAGGGGGATTAAGCTGCTAAGCCATACTATAAAAGTTTGGGAGAGGGTGGTTGAAGTAAGGGTTAGGACCAGTGTGTCTATTTATGAGAACCAGTTCGGTTTCATGCCGGGGAGTTCGACTATGGAAGTCATTCACATTGTGAGGAGATTGGTGGAGCGGTATAGGGAGATGAAGAAGGACTTGCACATGTTGTTCATTAACCTAGAGAAAGCATATGACAAAGTCCCGAGAGAGGCGCTCTGGCGATGCTTGGAGGCTAAAGGGGTCCCAGTAGCCTACATTAGGGTGATTAAGTGACACGACCCCAAATTTCCTCTGTAGGATATCGTGATAGCACCTAGTCTCTAAGACTAGGTAAGCCTATCAATGCGGAATAATAATAAATATCTTAAATAAATAAACTACAATTCAAACAATTTTAACTCCCAAAACCCGGTAGAAATAAGTCACAAGTTTCTAAGAATTTATTCTTTATGTCTCTATACATCAGAGTCTAAAGCAAATAAGGAGGATAACATAGTAAGATAGAAGAGGACTCCGGAGTCTGCGGACGCTGGCAGATATACCTCGAAATTTCCTCGTATNAAATAATTTAATAAATGCGCAACAGTGATCTACACAATTTAAAAATATAATCTTTTATAATTTAGCCCGTGTACATACTCGTCACCTCGTGCACACGACTTTCAACATATTTTAATAATCACATCGATACCAATCCTAGGGAAAATTTCCTCCACACAAGGTTAGACAAGTCACTTACCTCGACTTGCTCCAATTTAACCAAGTATTATGCTTTTTTCTCGATTTTCCGACTCCGATCGACTCGTATCTAGTCATAATTAATTCGATACAGTCAACAAAAATTATAGTAATCAATTTCATAAGAAAATATTACATTTTCATTAAAATCCGAAATTAGCACAAAATTTGCCCGTGGGGCCCACATCTCGGAATCCGGCGAAACTTATAAAATCCGATAACTCATTCAATTACGAGTCCACCCATACTAATTTTAACAAAATCCGATAACAACTCGACTTCCAAATCTTAAATTTTTATTTTTGGAAGATTTTACAAAAATCTTGATTTTTCTTCCATAAATTCACGGATTCATGATGTAAATGAGTATGGAATCATGAAATATAATCAATATAGGATAAGGAACACTTACCCCAATGTTTTTCCGTGAAAATCGCCCAAAAATCGCCAAAGAAACGTGCTCCAAAAATCCAAAATGAAATGAATCAAATGACCATTTTTGGTCCTTAATTTTCTGTCAATCCGTCACTAAAAGTCCATTTTCCGTCACTAAAAGTCCACCAGAAATTGCTCTACTAGTCTTACTTCAATACGTCATAACTTTATGTACAAATGTCCAAATGATGCATGATTTAACTTTCTGGAAACTTAAATCCAACGAATACAACTTTCATGTTTTGTAACTTTTCTGATTCCTTATGAATTGCGAGATATAAGCTCCCAAAGTCAGCTCCATGCATCAGAATTTCTGGCGAAATTTCTGGCGAAACTGCTCTACTAGCCTTCATTCAATCCGTCATAACTTTCTATACAAATGTCCAAATAATTAATGGTTTAACGTTCTGTAAACTAGAATCCAACGACTACAACTTTCATGTTTTGAAACTTTTCTGATTCCCTATGAATTTCTAGATATAAGCTCCCAAAGTCGGCTCCATGCATCAGAATTTCTGGCGAAATTTTTGGCGAAACTGCTCTACTAGCCTTCATTCAATCCGTCATAACTTTATGTACAAATATGCAAATATTGAATGGTTTAACTTTCTGGAAATTATAATCAAACGACTACAACTTTCATGTTTGGAAAATATTCTAATTCCTTATGAATAGCGAGATATAAGCTTCTAAAGTTGGCTTCACGCACAAAATTTCTGCAACAGAAATTTCCAGCACTCTTTGCCCGAAATCCATTCCGTTCACCTTCCGAAATCCACCCGAGACCCTCGGGACCTTAACCAATTTTTCCAACATGTCCCAAAATACCATACGAACTTAGTCGAGGCTTCAAACTACATCAAACAATATCAAAATGACAAATCGCACCTCAAATCAAAATCAATGAACTTTGAACTTTCAAATTCTATATCTTGTGTCGAAACACATCAAATCAATTCGGAATGACTTCAATTTTTATACACAAGTCATAAATGACATAACTTAGCTATGAAAATTTTCAGAATCGGATTTCGACCTCGATATCAAAAAGTTAACCCCTCGGTCAAACTTCCCAAAAATTCAACTTTCGGCATTTCAAGCCTAATTCCACTACGGACTTCCAAATAAAATTTCCATCACGCTCCTAAGTCCAAAATCACCATATGGAGCTGTTAGAATCATCAAAATTCTATTCCGGGGTCATTTACACATAATTCGACATCCGGTCACTATTTGAACTTAAACTTTAAATTTTTTATCAAAATTCCATATCTCGGGCTAGGGACCTCGGAATTTGATTCCGGGCATACGCCCAAGTCCTAATTCACGATACGGACCTACCGGAACTGTCAAAACACCGATACGAGTCCTTTTGCTCAAAATATTGACCAAAGTCAACTCAGTTGTGTTTTAAACATCTAATTCATATTTTAATCTATTTTTCACGTGAAAACTTGCC